AGATGACGATTCACTCGAATCATCAATATATTAAAGCGAGGTTCCATCGTTTCCTTCAATCTTCCTTCGTCATTTCGGCTTGTATTCCATCGTCTTCTTCAACGTTCAATCCATCTCCAGGTTTGTCTTTACCATTTATGCGATCATTTATGAACAACTGATACAATGTAATGTGGCTGGTTTCATTTATCGGGTTTCATATCTGACCTGTCTTCCATTTAGGGTTTCATTTATGAACCCAGAAATCAAAATATCAGGTTTCRTATTTTCTAATGTCTYTAGGACTCTATTTKATTTGGCATMAMAAACTTATGTWTYTATGGTTTTGTTCCACCRGATGGTTATTGTCTTGATGATTTCTTGAATTTTTGCTTGTGGGTTTTCTTCATAGCTACATGTGTGTGTGTGTCTTGTAATCTGATTTTTGCTTGTGGGTTTTTTTGATTGGGTATCAGTGGTTATGGGTAAAATTTCACTTGCCACGATTTATTGCTTGCATTTGGAAAGTCTTGCTTTTTGGGAAAGATTGCCTATAAATTCAATTATAGTTGCAGGTGCTCTTAATGCCAATGTGAGGGAAATGAGAGGCAATCTCTTTGACATTTTATTGCCATTCCCACATCAATATAGTGATCAAGGAGACTTGAGGGAGAAAGATATAGATGATTTATAGTTAGTTTAGTGCATTAGAAAGGAATGTTGTTTTTTGTTTATTTATATAATCTTGATTGATGGATTCAAATCACAAATTGCTTTACATATATTCGATTACCATCTCTATGTATATGTATGTTGGCTTCAAATTTCTTTTGCTATTTGTCTTGGTTCAGAAATGTTGCTTTGGAGAAAAAATGTTCAAGTCTTCTTTCATGAAATCTTACTATTTTGTGTTAATGTGGTGCAATGGCAGAATTGGTTAAGATTGTAAGCCAAGTTCATAGTTTTAAGTTCATTATATTGTTACTTGCATTGCTCATCATGTGTTTTCTGAAAGTCATCAAAGAAGTCATTCTTTTTTGTTTTTCTAATCAAAGCCATTGGACTGATGTTGTTTTATATGTGTTGATCTAAATACGCAACTAATGGGAGCATGAGGTAAATCATTACCTTTGCATCATACACATTATAACATTTGTTTTTTTATTTTACAAGTCTCCTTTATCTTTCTTTTGTTACAAAATTTAAATTGACCTGTTGCTACATTGAAGCAATCTGATAGTCGTTTCCTAAACTAATCCAAGGTGTTGTTTGATTGCATAATCAGGCCATTAAGGTATAGTATTGCTTGGTAAAATTTTGAGGTATATTATGATCTCCATTTAGTGTGAAGAAATGGGAACAATAAGGGCTTGAGTATAGTAGATAGATATTTGAATTGTTAAAAGTCTTCAATACTAACTATTTGCCCCTTGTGATTTTTCTTGCACAAGAACTAAATGCAATTGATCTTTAGGGGAAAACGATGAGTGTTGTTTCTTGATCTTTGACATTTGTTAATATACCTTATGTTAATTACGTTAACTTCTTCTTTTCTTTGTGATCGAGTTGGTTGCAACCAGAATTGGTTAGGCCTAAGTTTGAGGGCAATTATGTTTTTGTCATGTTTTTAATTTGCCAGTTGTAGGAGACCCTAATTTGCTTCTAGAGTTTTTGATGTAGAAAGGATATTAGTATCGCCAACACTGAGGAGATGTTCAATTCAACAGGTGTAAGCAATGGGCACACAAGACTTTTAGCACAAATGTGTTTTATTTTGTAATCGATTTCCATGCTGCTGCTATAGAATAAATGAAGTTTTATTTTATGTTTTTGATGATGTTTTTGGCTAAGGTACATCAACTGTGTGTATGTGAACTTTGCTAACATTCCATTTGATTATGCTTTCAGATATGGACATCCTATTCTTAGATCCTTTAGTGTTTACGAATGGTAATAGGCTTTCATAAAGTCATAGGATCTCTTAGGAAGCTTAATCAAGGATATTCTTTTAACGATTTAGCTTCGAATGGAGAGGTTAGATTGTTCTTGAGTTCGTTGAGGTTGGCAAGTGGCAATAAAGGAAATGATCACGAATGCAACTGAATGGATGAACACAAATATTTGTTGTTGATTGAGGTACCAACTTGCTGCTTCCCCTAAAATAGGTAATCTTTATATTAAAACGTGACGACCCTTACCATGGTAAGCGTTTACCGGGTAAATTGTTCTATACGATACTGTCTTGGTGGACTGAAATCTTATTCGGTAAGTAATTGATCGTGTTACATTTTACCGGTAAGCGCTTACCTTGTAAGTGATTGGTTAACGGCCCCTAAGACACTTATTTTGTGACAGAAGGAGTATTATTAATTCCAATCACTATTGTGCATTTCTTTTAATTTACAGGAGAGCGATGTCAAATGGGCATCCAGTTGGGACACCTATCTTCTAATGGCAGATGATAAAGTTCCCTGGTTTTCAATTGTGGACTCTTATGATTGTTCTTTTCCTATCGGGTATGGTGGCCATGATCATGTTGAGGGAGCTTTACCGTGACATCTCCAAATACGGGACGGAGACTGGTTTGTGGCGATGTTTAAATGATGTTCAGTTCTTTGGCATGATCTTAATCGCTATGATTTTTGTGGTGCTCATGACAGCCCTCCTTCTACTTTGGCTCATGACAGCCCTCCTTCTACTCTGGGTTCTCAGTTTCTTCTGCTTTATACCTGTTCTTATACATGATCTTTTACTTCTTCACGAAACTGAACATCACGAAGCCGGTTTCTGGTTCACAAGGCTGATTTATTCATTAGTGAAGATTGATTGAGTAGTAAGAGTAGTATAGGAGGAAATTAGGAAAAGGATGGTGATGTTTAGTGATACTTGTTTTGAATTTTGGTCTGCATATTTTGTATGTAGAGATTTGAGAGGATTTGCAAGTTGGATGTTTTGGTTCTTGTTTATCTATCAATCTATCTGTTTGTATCAGGATTATTCTTCTGTGTGATATTGTTTTTTTTTTACCATATGTCATGAATCTTGGTTGTCTTTCTTCAATGTCAAAACACTTCCCTTTGTTTTTGTTTTTGGTTGATCTCTAATTCACCCCTTTTTTTCTAATTGAACCAAATGGTCTAAGGATTCCATTTCGCGACTTGTAAAATGTCAAATTTTGAATTGAATATGATTTTGGTAGGGACTAACATATCATATTTTAATTTATAAAAATTAAATTTGGTATTTTGCATGGTTTGTGCAAAAGGGAATCTTGACTATTTTGGTTCAGAAAAGAATGCATACACATGAGTATTTGGTATTTTTGTAAGGTTTGTGTCGATAGCCATATTATAACCTCTTTTAAAGAAAACATAAACTACGAGCAATCTTGACTTGCCATCTTCTTTGTTTGGAATGGATGTAATCATAATAGAAGTCTTTTTTAAAGGACTATCATTCTTTTTTACATCCCGCTGCATTGCGCGTGTACACAACTAGTTTTACTTAAATATAAGATAGGTGTTCAAAACATAACCTTTTTTGTTTATTATTTAAGTATACATACAATGTCATAATATTTATTTTATCGGAGAAATGTCCTATAAACACAACTTTTTGTAGGATACTTGTGTTTATACAACAAATTTTCAAATAGTGTCCTATAAAATAACTAAAACTAAACTTAGGGGTCGTTCACCAAACACTTACCCGGTAAGTGATTACTAGTAAAATTCAACGCGTGCCCTCCTACGGAGTAAGATTATTGGTTCTTACCATATGCATCCGATAAAGTAATGTAACTTGGTAAACGTATCCTTAATTTAGAAATATTCTAAAAGGACTTGTCAAAAACATCTTATAAACTTATCGTAACATGTTTAGATATGATATTTTATTGTATAGTTCAATGACAATCATATAAAACAATCTATTAGAACATTCTTAGTGATATAAACTCAATTTTATTGTAATGTCATATCCACATTTTGGTTTTTAACTTTCTGTAAATCAAAACAAAAGTACTCAATATAATCCATGCAGATTAATATATGCTCGACGATTGGTTGTTAAATCATAAAAAGAATATCATAACATGTAATTTTCGTATTTCTACATGTTGGTACTTTCATTATTTATTAACCATTGATAAGACATATAAACGTTGTTTTTAGTAAAAAGTAATATAATCAAGCTAAAAAATAGCATTGTTCCAAATTGTACCGATATAACCAATTTGTACAGTGTTTAGCACTGTTAAGATTGCAACATACATTTTTGTTTTATAGAAACTTGATTGATTTATATGGTAACTTCTGTCTCACGGGCTTTTCATGGATTGGATGACCAACGTATTGGTAAGATTATCATTTCACATCCATAATAAAACTATTGATATAATAGAATATATACTATTCAGACATTAAAAATGTGCAAATCGAAGATGACACTTGGTAGGTATGCAAGTAGCACCTAATCAGTAGCATTCCCATGACTGCTAAAATTGTAGTATTTGAGTTGATCAAAGGTAGAGAAGCATAGGACCTAGACCTTTCAAGCTTTTTTTAGTAGAGCAAAAAGAAAGTTGGGACTTTTAAAATCCCGAGCCAGACTTTAGATGTGAAATGGGTCTGATCAGGCTTTTTCAAGTCTGGAAAAAATAGTTAACCGGACTTTTTGTCTGGTCTAGGACTGGGCTTACTAACAAGGGTTTGAATTCAAGTTATTTTTGTGCATCTTTAGTCTTAAGTCGTGCTAAAGGAACTGGGTCTTGACATTAACAATCATTCGCAAATGAAATTGAAAATCGAGAAGGAGCTTAGATAACTCGTTACCTTATTGACATATTTCATTATTACATTCTGAAAGTGTAAAAAGTGTTAGTGTAGGGAGTTAAAACGAATAGAATAAAAATTGAGTGGGTCAAAAGAGTTATTAGAGAAACTTTAGGGGGTCAAAAAGAAAATGCCCCATTAAAACTAAAGTGTCAGATTCCCGCCGACGCAAGCGTGACCCGACCCGGACTGAACTCCTGCTGACTTCATAGTAATCTGCCATGGCGATTCGCTCACTTCTCACCCATCTTCAGCTACTAAGGTACGCCTATTTGCCTCACTCTGTGTACTTCTACGTGAAATCGCCAATACCCACGAAGAAATTATTGCAGTTCTCGTGAAGTGGGCACCAATGGGGTTGCAAAAGGATTCAACTTTCTAAGGGGCATTTCATCGAACACCTTATCGGCATTTCCATCCCAACCCTCTAAGGAGACTAACAACATCGACCTTGTAAACCAGTTACTTTTCCTTAAGTATCCTCGACGAAGCGCGACGAATGTGCTTCAAAATTGGGTCAGCGAAGGCCGGAAAGTCTCCATTTACGATCTTCGACATATCTCTAAACAACTCGTAAGACATGGGCGTTACAAACACGCTCTTGAGGTTTGCTTCTTTCACAATCGAGCTTCTATGTACTCAAGAACCCTCATTAACGGTTTTCATATCACTTTTCCAGAAGAAAATCTGTACAAGTTTTTGATTTACATCTGTTGATAGGTAATGAAGTGGATGGAAGATCAAGAACATTTCAAGATTTCAGAAGCTGATCATGCTCTCAGGTTAGAATTAACCATCAGATTGAATACTTTAAAAGAAGCAGAAGATTATTTTGCACAAATACCCACCATTGCTTCACAAAGAGCTTCATATCTCCATCTTCTAAACTCATATGTTAAAGAAAAAGCCACCGAAAAAGCCGAATCTTTAATGACCAAAATGAATAGCTTTGGTGCCAATGTAACTCCACATCCATTTAATGCAATGATGAAGCTTTACATTGCCACATGTCAATTTGAGTTGGTATTATCCATCATATCCCAAATGAAGCAAAACAAAGTACCCAAAAATGTGCTTTCTTATAATCTTTGGATGAGTGCGTGTAACGAGGTTTATGGGGTCGAATATGTCGAAATGGTTCACAAAGAAATGGTTAACGATAAGCACGTTAAAGTTGGATGGAGCTCTCTTTGTACTTTAGCTAATATCTACATGAAATCGGGACTTGTTGAGAAGGCAACTTTGGCACTCAGAAACGCAGAGGATAAGCTGTCATTTAATAACCATTTTGGGTTCTTTTTTCTCATTACGAACTACGCTTCTTTGAAAAACAAAGATGGGGTTCTTCGTGTTTGGGAATCTTGCAAAAGGGTAGACGGGAAACTCACGTGTGCAAACTATATGTGTATGGTGCTATCTTTAGTCAAAATTGGGGATGTTAAAGAAGCCGAGAAGGTTTTCATGGAATGGGAGTCGCAGTGTAGGAGATACGATATCCGGGTGTCTAATATCCTTCTTGGTGCTTATGTTAGAGACGGGTTGATGGAAAAAGCCCAGAAATTTCATCTACACACGTTGGAAAAAGGCGGGTGTCCAAATTTCAAGACTTGGGAGATATTGATGGAAGGATATGTTAGAAGCCAAAAGATGAAAAAAGCGATTGTTGCAATGAAGGAAATCTTTAAGATGTTGAAGCATACCGAATGGAGGCCTTCGCCTACAATTATCGAGTCTGTTTTGGGGTATTTTGAGGAAAGTGGGAATTTGGAAGAGGCAAAGAGTTATTTGAAGGTTCTTAGGGATTTCAATCTTGCTAGTTTGAATGTTTATCGATCGTTAATCAAGATGTATGTAACGAAAAGAGAACCAACGGATGAGATTCTTGAATTGATGGAGGAGGATAAGATCGATATGGATAGCGAAACTATGAATCTTGTTCGTGGTTTACAAGCGTAAGCCATAGCAAAAATGGTGGATTCGTGTTAAGATGCTTAAAAAGAGAAGAAGGAATTTATAGTTTTAGAAGCATGGAAGATTGGGGAAAGAATTGGGAGGTTGTGAAGAGAAGAGTTTGAGATACAGGTATTATCACTATAGCAAAATTAGGTTTATACTTAATAGGACGTTGAAAATAATTAAGTGTCTTAATAGACTGTTTCATAGGACTTAAGTTTATAGAACCAAACAATAAAGCGTCATATCTAAAAGAGCTATAATAAGTTTATTGAATGTTTTTGGATGTTTTAAAAAGTTTTTTTAGGACATTTTCAAATTAAAGTGTCATATTTGCTTATTTTATATGACATTATTCGAAAAGGGGTCTTATAAATACAAGTACCCTATAAAATGATGACATACAAATAGTTAATACGACAATTTATTTTAGGAGTGTCATTAAAAAGAACATGTTAAAACGCCTAGAAGCATACTATAAACTTATTGTAACACTTTATTGTTTGGTCCTATAAAGCATTCGATTAAGACACTTAGATGTTTTTAACGTTCTATAAATCCGATTTTGTTATAGTGTCTCTTTTGTTAGTTCATTTTTTCAACTTTTTTTAACTAGGTGTTTAGTTTTAATTGGCAGGTTGTAAAGAGAAGGCTTGTGTCGTTTAATTCTTGTAAAGGTCTTATTATCTTAATGAAAATAGTCTCTTAACCTTTTGGGGTAGGGACAAAGTCTGGATACATCCTACCTCAGATCTACCTCTATATGGAATAAATTGGGTTTGTTTGAGCTGTTATAGCTTAGGACATGGTGCTACCCCGATCTCACGATCATAACCTAATAACCAAAATGAAACTAAATAAACCCATTATATCTTACTCGAAAGTAGATATTAGGGTGGGATTTATGCAGATCTGACCTCTATCCTGAAGGGTGCAGTTGTTTTTGTGCTTTTCTCACTTGAAAGTGGATACAGGGGATGTACACAGACCTGATTTCTACCTGAAAGGATACCTATGCAGACCTTATATAACATTTCCTTCAATTATTTTCAGTCTTCTTTTTTTGTTTTCTTATCTGAACAACACCTTAAAGGGATTTTATTAATTCCTTCAGAATTTTATAAAGATCACTCTGAATTAAACTTTAGTAGATGAAAGAAATGTTGCATTTATTTTGAAATATAGAGTAGAAGGCAATCTTCACTAAAAGAGTCATTTCACTCTTTGGGGTAAGAATACAGATTATGCATTCGAGTGGAACATACTAAGCTCTTATAGTTTGATTTTAAAAAGACATAAGACAAGTTCATTCGTGTTTAACTGGCAGGTCATAAACGTTGAACTTTTGTTGGGAAAATGTTACGGATTTCAGTTGTGGTTTGTCTAGGTATGGATAAACCATGTAAACAGCCTGGCCTTTAACCAATTATCTCAAGCCTGGCTAAATGGTTAAGCCAGTCCCGATTATAACCAGTTAACCCGGTCCCGATTATAACCAGTTAAGCCGGTCTCGGTTATAACCGGTCCTCCACAAATAATGCAAGGCCCATTTGTACATACTAACTAGTGTAACCAGTTACTTGACCAGTTAACCGTAACCAGATCTTTTCAATAAATACATATAATTAATTAATTAATTAACTGACTGTAAAACTCCAATCAAATAATTTTTTTATTTGATTATCTATACTACTTTATAAAGCAAATTTATCAAAAGTCTTAAAAACAATTTTTAATGCACAAAGTACTATACATTTATGCACACAGTCTTAAAAGTCTTAAAAACAACTCATAATGCACATTCAATCTTAAAATCTCTTAATCTACAATCTATACTATCTTATAAAGCATTTGGCTAAAACTCTTAAAAACTCTTAAAGACAACCTCTATTGCTTTAGGTACAACCTACTAAAGCATACTATCCCTAAACCCCCGCCATCCCTAATCTGCGTATCCCTAAACCCAATCCCATTTTTATCGCCAACCCTAATCTGCATATCCCTAAACCCAATCCCATTTTTATCGCCATCCATATCCCATAAACAAAATCGATTTTCAAACCCATGAACAGAACCTACTAAAGCATACTAACCCTAATCTGCATATCCCTAAACCCAATCCCATTTTTATCGCCATCCATATCCCATAAACAAAATCGATTTTCAAACCCATGAACAGAGATTTTGATGAAATCGATTCCAACCCAATTCGATTTCATCGGTTCCAACAGTTCGATTTCTATCTTATCCCTAAACCCAATTCGATTTTCTCGCCATCCCTAATCTCTCCTATCCGTAAAACCGACTGATATTTATAAGGATGAGATCTGGAGTCAGATGAAAAGAGATTTCGATTTCTCTTGACTCTGTTTGCAGTTCGAGAATTTGCTACTATCAGTATACGGATTTTGAGGTACGAAGTTTCTTATTTGATCTTTTTTATGTTTCTTAGGGTGTCGAAATTAATGACTTCTGGAATTGTTCTTGTTTTGAACGATTACTGTTTAATAACTTTTCTGTTAGGATCGTTCTATCTGGGTTGGTACATTGTGTAACAATCAGTCAATCACGCATTAATTTGGTTGTTTTTGGATTATAGAATTTTTCATCGAAAAGTTAGTGTTCTAGATTTGATTCCTGTACGAAGTTTGGAAACCACACTCTAATTTTCAATCAAACATCAAGTATGGGAGAAGTGTGTCAAATCCGTAGCCACATTCGCTTAGATAAGAACTTTGGAACCTAGACAAGAAAACCACGAGATCATTATAAGATGTGAGGGAAGTGGATGATCAGCTGCAAACAGCTCATTAAAAACTAAAGAACATAATTAACACTAACCTTGGGGTTATCTACTTCTTATTGTCATTTTCAAGAGTAAATGTGATGAGATACATCAGAAGAAGAATCTGACTCCTCTCTTTGCTTCCATTACTATAGTTTCCTTCTTTCTGCTTCCTGTAAGCAAAGAACAAGGCTTTAATTTTCATAGCTCATTTTTAAAGTAGCAGGTGATGTTTTACTAATCAAAACAACATGCCAGCACAACAGCAAGAAACTACCATCATAAGAGCTAGGGGCTGTCTGGTTGGTTTTTCCATCAAGTCCTTTATAAATAAAGTTGTCTATGTGTATTAATGTCTGTAAAGAACTAAAGATTGTGAAGGTTTTTGTTTGGAAGAGGTTTTTCATAGATGGAAGGAACGTGTAAAATTTTCTTTTGAGATTTTTCTCTTGCGATACTCATTTGCTGATTTGGTATAAAATAATTAGCAAACATCTCTATCGTCATGTTCTTTCTCTAACAAAAACAGTGAACAAAGTTGTTTTCTGTCTAAATATCGTCGGGTCTACTGTTGTATTTTTGTCTCAGTGTCGCCGAATCTAGAGCTGTTTCTTTGGTAGAAATAGATCTGTTTCCTTCACAATTCTTTCCTTGCTCGATTGGTTCTTTTTCTTCTTCTTGGAGCTGCCGGACATTCTTCCGCCGTATGTGAATATGATTCTCCTTCCTTCTATTTTGATTACATACATTTGCTTGATTTTAGAATTCATTTTGCTGTTATTTGGTTATCTGCCTTCATCCCTAATTATGGATGCTTTGATGTTTTGTGTTTTTCGTATTAACGGAAATTTTCCTATTGGGCAAATCCACTGGCTGACATCGAAGTTACCACCTAATTTTGGTCTTTGGACCTAAACAAACACAAGTAAATCAAAATTCATTCATACAATACAACACTGTCTACATATGCTGACTTATGAGATATAATTTTTTTTTCTCACTATTCATATTTGTTCTGTGACCTTTTTATAAATTACATTCAGGCTCTGGAGGCTTTTGCATCTTGGCTTCGACTAAGACATAGGTATGCTTTCTTATCTCCTATTTTATTGGTGTCTCATAGTTGGTTTACTGAATTGCATGAAGTGCCATGAAGTTTTTTACCAATACAGTATTAGGATGTATCTATTGTGAGCCTTCATTTGAACACCAAACTATTTTGCAAAATTTGCAGTATGCTAATAATATCAATATATCAGCACCACAATCTCAGGTATGTAAAACCATTGAAAAAAACAAGTGGACGTAGCCGTAGATGATTATCCAACGTCAACTAAAAATCACTAGCCACACAAGAATTAATGTCCAAATAGAGGCTACAGCAACTAACATCCTAGAATATAATATTCTATACCAAAAAATCACAACTAACAATCTAATCACTTGCCCATTCAAAATAAAGAACACTTTGATCAAATCAAAAGTAAACAGCCGTAGTTTATACAATCTATGATTCCAGAATTCCACTAATTGACTTCCTAAAGTGAATTTCGTTTGTGATATAGTTAGCATACATTTATCATTAACAGTATCCACAACTCTATATAGATGCCGCCAGTCTCTAGAGCTATGATTTATGGTGCATCCAATACGAAAACTAAAAAGAAAAGATTCAAATCAGATTTAATACACATATTATAGCACCTAGCAAGCTAATCAGTCCACCGTCGGTGTAAGTTAAACCACTGAAATACATTTCAATTAGAACTCAATCAAATGAACCCAGGGGGGATGTTTTACCTTGCCAGATCTTTTGAGGTGAGCGGCATAAGCCTTGACGAAATCATGAGGCGATACATCCTTCACAGTTCTAGCAGTCGCCATTGTCGTTGCAGTGATTGACCTTTTTTTTATAAGTCTAAAATTCTATAACTTGCAACGTATGCATGCTAGGGAGAAAGAAGGAAGCAAGGCAAGCCAAATAAATCTTCCTACTCAATAGTTTAGACTAATATAGACATATGAAGCAACAATAAAAGCAACAGCATGATAAGACTTACTCTTAAGCGTATATCTATACTACATATATAACCATTTAGGTCAATATCTTAATTACAACCCCTAAAGCATAAGTTACAATGGTTTTATGCAACAAATTCAAAAAACTCTTAAACACAAGTCACAAAGCATATGGTACAAGCTTTTTATGCATTGAATTTAAGGGACAAATAGAGCAAATGGTTAGAACTTCTTTTTGGGGTAAGGTCAAAAATCCTTTTCTGTTTTCTTCTTTTTGGAATTCATTTATGTTCCGATTTCATCTTATATACACACACATCTGTTTCTTCATTAAAAAAGAGTTCTGGGTCTGTTTCTTTTTTATTATTTGTGGGTGAAGAGCAGCTGTTCTTCATTAAAAAAAGTTCCCATAAAAAGACACAGGGGTATGTAAATGGCCAGCCCTTCCACCCAAAAACAGTTGCCATAAGCCAAGTTCATGAAATTGATTTCATATGGTGTTCTTTATGTATTTGGTTCAAGGACTATGGGCATGGGGGTACATGGTTCTTTTTGTGTGGCATTGGAGTACATGGTTTAATGTTTTTTTGTCAAAAAATAAATCAACCATGACATAGATAGCATAAACTTTACTGCTGTTTGTCTCATGTTTTTCCATTTTATTTTTGTGTCCTCTACTGTTGTTTGTCTCTTCTCTATGAACTATTGTATACATGGTTTGTTTTGTTGTTTTGTGGATTAAGTTCATTTGACATAGATAGCAGAAACTTTACTGCTATTGTCTCATGTTCTTCCGTTTTATTTTTGTGTTTTGCACTGATGTTTGTCTCTTCTTTATGAACTGCTGAAGACATGGTTTGTTTTGTTGTTTTGTGGATTAAGTTCATTTTAAGCA